AAAAAAAAAAGATAAAATCATACTTTTTGTAATAGGGTAATTAATTAAAATAAATAGATAATGATAAGGTTAAAATAGGAAAAAGATATTTGTTTACTTTAAAGTTTAAAACATGAAAAAAAGACAATTAATTTGAGATAAATTCAAAATAAAAAAATAATTATTTTGAAATAATGCTAGTAGTGATGAAGACTAATAATAATCCCTCTATCGCGAGATAATTGTCTTTTTGACTGAAAATTTATTCTAAAATAATTATATTATTGAAAAAGTGATTTATAAATGAGGTTGCATGTTGAAAGAATGGTATATTTTATAAAGTTATTAAAATACTCTTAATAAAATTATTTTTTATATTATTTCATTAATGATAATTTAATAATTTCAATACTTAAACCATAATTTTAATATGTAATTCAACTTATACAATTCTGAATCCTTTATGTTTTTCATAAATAAATATTTTTTTCCAATTTGACTATTTTTATTGTTTAAGTTCAATTCTCCATCTTATCACCAAAATTTTTTTCTTCATCCTTCACAATTTTCTTAATTTTCGAACACACCCACTTACTTGATTTTAAGAAATATCATTGTCATTATCCTGGTGTCTAAATCAAAGGAATCGTGTTTTTTTTTTTTTTTTGATAATAAAAAATAATTAGATAAGTGTTAATATCTGTCGTACTGTATGAGAGGGTTAAACATCAAAAGTGAGTGCAATCCACCTGCTCCTCAAGCGTCCGCAGGGCCACCATTGGTCCACATTGGGGGCTTTTTTTTTATAATAGAAAATGGTTAGGTAAGTGTAATATTTGTTGTACCATGAGAGGGTCAAACATTAGAAGTGAGTGTAGTCCACCTGCTGCCCAAGCGGCTGCGTGGCCACCGAGCCACGTGGGGGCTGCAGGAATCTTGTTATCCTATCCAAAATTTCAGCCAAAAATTTCATGGCAAAACCCTACGCTAACTCTTTAAATTTATCTAGATGTTTAATTAAGTTTTTAAACTTTTATTAAAGTAAAAAAATTCTTTAACTTAGTAATTTGAATAATTTAACTCTCTTTCTTTACAATGAACTAAATTCTCATTTATGCTTAGCTTGTATAAATAAAATATTAATGTCATTATTAATGTGATAGATATTAATCTTATTTATGCAAGTATAATATAAACAGATGTTTAATCTATTATACAATAATTAAATTACATAAATTATCGAGTTTAAAAACTTATTTACTTTAATAAGAATTTAAATATTTAATAAAAAATTTAAAATATGTTTGAGAGCTTAACATAATTTTTTTTTTATAATTTTATTATCATTATTATTTTCCCGAAATTCATCCCCCCTGCTTTGCCCGTCACTTTTAATTAAGCAAATATCAAAGCCCATCCACAAGTTTATGCCAGGGAAACTAGAAGGTAATTTAACCAATCACTTCATGAACCCCCTTCATATACAGAAGCAAGAAAGAGAGAAACTTCAGCTAAAAAAACAGCTTTTTATCATTCCTCTAGAAAATTTGCTTAAAGAATTGATTGAACTCACACAAAATCATCTCACCTATTTTATATTTTTAGTATTGGGACTAAATTTACAGATGGTCCAGCCAAGTCTTTTCTTTCCTCTCAGAAAACTGCAACAACGACCGCCACAGTAGAGAATGAAAAAAAGGTATAGAAACTGTACAGCAATCTATACAAATGTAATGTGCGAGTAAGTGCTCTGTTCTTACTCTTTCATGCCTGTGCAAATATGTTGCTTACGACCCGTTGCACTATGAAAACTGATTATGGCTTCCATTTGTGTCAGATACAGTTGACGCAGGTATTCTAGCCTGAGCAGTTTGTGGTGGTGCAGTTAGTGCATAAGTTAGACTGGATGAGGAGTGCTCGATTAGGCCAGCAACTCCGGCAGCAGATTGAGCACTTGATGGAAGGAAAAGATCATGCTTCTGGTCCTTATAAGCTTTCCATACCTGCAAAATGGACAGGATAACCAGTAAATATCCCAAGAGATTATTAAAAGGTGCATCTGCTTTGACCTATATAAGTGATAATAATTTGGCCTGGTGGAAGCCACAAATATCATAGAGAACTTCATGATTGAGATTTCATGCAAAACCATTTCAAACACTCTTGGTGTAAGATCTATTAAAAAATAAAAATAAAATAAAAAAAACCCCTTCTTGTGTGAGGACTTACATCGGACGCATTTAGTAACTCCCGCACTCTAGTACAGTGAGCCCCTTCTGCTGAAAATGCATGTAAAACCTGCAACAACAAATTCACGATATCATCAAAGGACACTTGAGCACACAAAAGAAATATAAACACAATATAGATTCAAATATACAGATACGAATGTTCAGGCAATTATAAATCAAATGCAAAAGAAAGTACAAAAGCAAAGGAAAAGAAAAAGAAATTATCAACATAATTACATAAGCTATAAAACTAACAAGAAGCAGTTCAAAAATGATTAATGAAGTATGAAAGGGAAAAGAAACTGAAATTCCTAAATATAACAAAGATGGTGCTCTTTTTTAAGGAGATCAAATATTCTTTCCACTTTACAGCTTAGCAATAATAATGGTAATGACATAATATTAACACTCTTATTCCTGATAATGAAATAATATCCCTTCTTTATTTATTATGCTGCTTTTGAAATTCTAACATTACAAAACACACGTGTCTAGCTGATGATAAAAATTTTGACCAGAAGATTGTTTTCCTCTCTACATTTATCTTACAGAATAGACTTTTACAGAAACTAAAAAATATAGTAGTTTATAAATCTCATATAAATCTAGGAAGTATAATAAGTAACTTTGAAATAAAAAGAAAAATAATTATGAAATCAAATTAAACAGACTCAAGAACAGTGTCACAAAAAGCTTGCCTAGGCAGCTCTTAGGCACCACTTAAGAGCTAGGCGGTGCTCACCGTCTTGTCTAGGTCCTAGACGGTGGAGCTAGGCATTTCTTCCATTTTTTTATATTTTCTGGCATTATTTGCAGAAAAATAAAAATGCCCAGAATGCTTGGCTGTGCTTAGGTGATGCCTAAGCACCACATAGGTGCAAGGCAGAAGCCCAACACCTAGGTACCACTTAGTGCCTTCTGCAACGCTGCTCAAGAAAAAATATGATTGCATTCTAACCTCAATGGCAAGGACCCTGCCAATAGATGCTTCTGATTCATTCCACTTCATCTGGGAGCAGAGTCCATTCCTTCCCCCAGCCCTCCAGTCAAGAAGTCCAAGGAGTACTTCAACCAAACCAACCCTACATTGTTTACACATTTTGTTTCAATATCAGGAAGGATGAGAAAACAAGTTCAATAGAGATTCAGAGAACACTGTAAAAAAGTCCATAAAACCTGAGCTCAGTTTAAAATAATAACACAAGGTTATACAATAAAATATAGTATTCATCATGGAATAAACTACCACTAATATCTACTGTCAGAGAATACAGGAAACAGGGATAAGCATATAGAATATTTATTTAATCCACTTTTACAGCCAGATAGACAATTTTGCTCAACTAACTAATGCCCTGATCCAACAATTTCCCCTAATTAAAAGAGGCCCCCAGAAAAGATACAGTATCCTCCAAAATTGTCACTCAAGTGTATTTATGGATGACTTTAAAAATTGTTCTAGAATCAAGTAGGCTCAGAAAGACATGTCTAGGGTCCATCTGTAAAGTCATACTTCTGTATTCCCGCTAACAGAACGTCTTAGTTGAATAAATGCATGCGCTAGTATTAGTAACAAACACAAAAACAGCAGATTAGGGACCAAATGCACATTATATAGGCATGTAAGTAATCATGCTTTTCTCAATTTCAGAATTTACTAATTTCTAACAGAAATTTAAGTTTTATTTTGTTGATGGGAACACTACATACTTGAGTCCTTGTCCAACGAGTGCATCCCTAGCTCGATTTCCAGCACCCACAACACGCTTTAGTGTCTCAAGAGCTAGTATGCTTCCCCCTTGCCATCCTATAGCTTTCATTAGAAGAGGAACAACCTGAATATATAATTATCAATCAGGAGGAAGTGAGTGGACAAATAGGAATTCCATAATGCTGCACCAAGCAGAGTAAATATCTCTAAACATGTATTTTAGTAGGTTAACAAACTATTGAAAGAAAAAAAAAAAAGGGGAAAAAACTATCAAAAAAATCCCACTTAAACTTCGAGAAGGAAGAGAAGATATAAAGGAAAGAAATCCATTTAATACAATGCAAACAGGTTTAAATACATACCTGAGGTGTTCCAACACTAGTTGCAGCCATAGCTTCAGCACAAGTTGTACTAGAAGCAAGTTGATGTAGAACACGCAAACAACTAAGGCGCACACGTTCTTGTGGAGTCTGTGCAGGTTGTGTTGCTCCATCATCACCTTCATATGTTCGGTCTCTGAAATGGTTGCCATTGTTCACCTCCCCGGATGACATTGTTTCTCGTCTACCCTCATAAGCCACAGCAGCTACAAGTTTGGGCACATACCCAAGATATCCCACATGATCTCCAAGTGCAGGGTGTACCCGCAATAATGAAACCAGAGCCGCAGAAAGAAGCAAAGGAAGCTCAGGGTCAACAGCTTGTGATTCGTAATGTGTGCCTGCAATAGCATTCAGATACTGATCCAGCAGCCCTTCCAAGAATCTTTTTGGATTTCGAAGAGGGAATTTGGGATCTTTTAGGAATAGCCGGACATAAATTCCACCAACCTGCATGATCATCGCTTTATGAGTCCCATAAAATATTTAGTCACCTAAAATCTAGGCATAGCATATACCAGGTTGTACCTGTGGCTCATCTCTCATTTCCTGCTGCCCAGAAGCTTGCTCTGGCACATCCCAATCAACAATACGACCTTTCATCTGTTCACGGTATAGGTCTGATGCCATGGTTGCAATTTGTGCTGACAAAGAAGTTGCCATGGCTGGTGTCCAGACAAGTTCTGGTGTTTCTGTATTTTGTTCAAGTGCAGATACAACAGCTTCACCAGGTCCATCCCGTATGACAGATATCAGGCCATCAGGAAGAAATCGTGCTAGTGTAATAGCAACTCTAGGCCCATGCATTGGCTGCCCTAGAAGCTTCCCCAATAAAGAAGCTGCTGCAGCTCTTTGCTGCAAGGGAATTTCTTCTGCACAACACCAATTCTTTATCAGCATTATAAGCTCTTAAATTGAAAAGGGTTGAGGAAGAATTCTTACGTTGTGAAGGCAAGAGAAGTTCAAGAATGTAAACAACTCCACCGTGCTTTGCAGCTGCCCAAGCAAGTTCTGGTGTGCCCGCCAATGCATAGAGAACATGAAGTGCCCCTTCACGACAAGCTGGGGCAGAGTGCAGCATTTGTAACAAAAGAAGAAGACTAGATCCCTCTGCAACCATCGCCTCCAAGCATGGAGCATACGTGGTCAAGAGAGATAGAACACTCAAACAAAGTTGAGGAATGTTGCTTTCTGATGCAACAGGCACAGAAAAGCATTCAAAAAGAGGCAACAGCTTTTCTTTAGTAGAAAATATGGACGCCAAATTGGGATAGTTGGTAAGTAAGTTCTGCAAAGGAAAGAAAAATGTCAGAACACAACTAAATTATTTACAACTTATAATGCACGAGAGTAAATTACCTGAAGTGATGTCAGCCCAGACCGAAGGTTTTTAATAAGAAGATTTTCTTCCTTATCTTTTGCTTTTCCATCAGATTCCACTGGAGAATCATCTATGATATGCTGTTCATCCATTGGCACGTCGGTCATATCACCTTGAAGTTCTGAAGTGTTTGTGGGTGGCTTGCTGTCATTAATTTCGTTCTGAGTATTGGAATCCACAGAAGATTGTCCATGAACCAAGGAAGCTATAAAATCAATTAAAGCAACACAAAATGCTTCTGGCTCACTCAGCTCATAGTCTGCTTGGTCATTATAAACCCTCAAGTAAACATTTCCAACAAACAGTTCTTTTGAAAGTGCCTCATATGAGAAGACATTTGAATCTTTCAGGTCATATGAACCATCAGGACCCTGGCTAGCACGTTGCTGATCCACAAATTTCAGCAGCTCTGCTCGAGTGGAAGAGTTCCAGATTATCTATAATCAAGAAATTTAGTCATCTCATCACAAAAAGGAAAATTCTAGTCATGTTTTAAAAAAGGTAAAAATTTAGTTGCAATGTATTCCCTCCGTTCCATTTTAGTTGTCACACTTTCTAAAAAGAGGTGTCCCAATTTCCCAATTTAGTTGTCAATTTATATTTTAAATAAAGCATGAAAAGCTCTCTTTCCAACCTTACCCCTATTGAGTAAATCAAAATATAGATTTCAATACTAATTTAGATTTAAATTAAGGGTAAATATGAAATTTTAACTGCTATTAACTGTGTTCATTATTCACCATGAATTTTTCTGTTTTTCTCTGTAACCATGTCAACCAAAAATGTGACGACTCAAATGTAACAGAGGGAGTAGCATGTTTGAAACAAAACAACGACAAATCACATTGTTTACCTCAGGTGACTCCAAGTTTGAGTTTAACTTTGCAAGTAGGTCCTTTGGGACTTGATCTTTCAACATACTGGCAAGTTTTGGAGTTAACAAGGCTCTGAGAGCATCTGCTGCAGGCACATTATAGGGTGTTGGACTCTCATCAATGCACAAGCCACTAAGCCTAGAGAGAGCCTGTGATGCTCGTAAAGCATGCATATTTTTTGCAATTTGAACACTAGCGCCAACACCATGTGACTCTTTGGTATCAGATTCCTCAGCAGTAGAGTCATACTGAAGCAACAATGGCAAAAGGAACCTAAAAAAATAACAAATGAATTGAATCACACCAGCCCAAAACTAATTTGAAGGGAGTCTTCCCATTCATAATTCATCACTTTAATCCAAATTCACATCAAGAGGAAAATGTTTTACTAATGTCTTATCAGTAAAATTTCACATAACTTCTTCATGCCTACCATCATCATCCCTCTCCTTCCTTTTCCTCAAATATACCAGATAATTGCTAAATATCAGAAACAAGATCCAGTCCCAAGAAATAATTTACCAATTGTGAGGAGACTGAGAATTCTGGAAGCAGCCTTGGCAACTGGAGATGCCACTTATGGCGTGCACACATGACAATAATAATGACAATGTATTTAAATGTATGATGACAATGTATTTAAATGCTTATCATACATAAGACATCAGTGACCATTTTGCAAAACCAAGCATTTGGGTGAAGAATACTGCCAAGAAGAAAATGAATCTAAATACGCTGATCAATCTGAAACCACTCAGAATTTATGATGCCATAAGTTGTAATGCAATTTTATGAGTGATGCACTGCCAAATATTTAAAAAGAAAAAAAGACCAACTAATTAATTCTCCACTATGATCTATGCCAGGAGAGATGCTTCTAGTTCTAGGTAATGCATGCAGTACTTAGTTTCAACCAAAGAAAGAATACAGGCTGAAAAGAGAAGCATTAAAGGTGTCTCCATGACCAAGTTTAAACAGGAAGGAAAAAAAAAAGGTAAAACATCTGCTGCATACATCAGATAGAATAAAGGATTGTGCACAGAGAGACTGCAGTGATATCAGGTAATACCTAGATTAATGTATGGAACCTCTACATTAAATTAGCAATAGAAATAACATGCAACTAACTTGTAGCTTGCATAAAATTGGATATAAAATGACAAGAAATTATGTTTACTTACCATAGAACACCAGCCTTCAACAAGGCATCTTGCAATTCAGAGGACACGGAAAGACTAGCAATAGTCTGGAGGGCTGCATCAACAGCTCCAGGAACAAGATCAAGTTCAGTGCAGTGTACAACGTCCTCAACCAGTCCAGAAAACTCAAGCATCTCAGCCCTGGCACTCTCAAACTGACTCAAAACAGAAAATGTTCGCATCACATTTGTAACGATGATAGCAGATGGTTCAGTTGCAGGAGTAGTTGGCTGGACTATGCACATGCAACGACTGAGAAGGGTTCCAAGAAGTTGAATCCCACCATCCCTAACTAGCTCTTCACCATTCAATGAGGAAGATGCACATCTAAACATTAAAAAATGGAAAGAGGAAGTAGGAAAAATTTGTAATCAAAACTTAATTAGTAAAAGAAATAAACAGAAGAACATATTGACAGGAAAGGCATATACGTAAGCCAAGTGAGCTCTGATGCTGCAATAAGAAGAGGGGCTCTATCTGAGGAAAGAAAATTATTGTCATCCTTGTCAACAGTAACAGCATTGAGCAACATGGGATAGCCAGCATATTTAAATGGTTCCAATACATCTCCGTAGCGTCTGTATAAGATGCACTGTCCTTTCAGTAAAAGCAATAACCTCCAAGCTTGAGGACCTTGCAGACCTTGCATAGTAGCCTACAAATAATTTATAAATCAAAATTTTTAGCAAATTATGTGGAGCTTGTTGAAACTGAAACAATGTCTCAAACACCATGAAATAAATAATAGTAAAAATGTTCTAATTACATAAAGTTAGACTATGGAGGGATCTTAATTCATATATAGCACTTAAATCAATTAGATTCCAAGCACATTAGCATATAAATTTATGAGCAAATACCAACCTGAAGTCGTTCATACGCTTTTTGTACAGCAAGAAATTTATCCCTTCCTTCAGGATTTTTGTCAGGATGATACTTCATTGCAAGTTTCCTGTACTGTCGCTTAAGCTTTTCTTCATCAATGTTCTCAATCTGCTTGGATATGCTAGAAGCATCTTCAGTCATTTCAGAAGAATTCTTCCGATTGGTATCATCACTTGATACATCTTCCAAAGATATCTCTAGAATTTTACAAGCTTCTTCTTCAGAAAGATCCATTGGTTTTCGTGTCAACTCTTCACGCCACATTACCAGCAAGGATTGTAAAAATTCTACATGCTCAACAATTAGCCAATTTGGAAAGCGAATCTCATCACATAAGTTCCTAAGATAATAACGGTGACACCACATTTCATCTCTAAGTTCTGGGTACGTTACTGGTGGCATGGGAGCATAATCATACAAAGAGTGACAATGCTGTGATAATTTCTGAGGGAAGTCACCAAGATGCTGCAAAACCTAGTGAAAAGGAATAAAGGATGTATTTAATGGTGATTAACAAATATTTTTTTCTATAAATAAATGTTCTAAAACCAAAGTAAAGAAGATTAGACATAAAAATATAAACATAATGCACCTGACGTATCAGATTTTCTCCTCTCATTTTGTGAGTCCAAATAATCTCTGGAGTATCAGAGTCAGAAACCATTGCTGCAGCAAATGCTGCTGGACCACTACGATCCAGTACATACAACAAAGATTCAGGGAGAAGCCCACCCAATACACTACGTTTTGCCAGTGGTAATGAAGAGGAAACTGCAGCTTCTTCCCCACCATGAAATGCTTGATGTACATGAGTCACTGAGAAGAGTTGGGCAATTGAAAGGAGATTAGATCCAGGGTATGCTAGGGCAAAGTAAAATGCACCTGTGCTGTATAGACGCATCATTGCCTTCGGATTTCTTGTAACAACATCCTTCAGTAAAGCAGCAGCTGCCTCTACAATACTTGGTTCCCCAGAAAGCATTGCCTTTAAAAAATGATTAACATGATTATGTTACTAAAGCACTTCATTTTTTTCCCCCATATAACTAAAGCACTTTAAAGGAGAGATTGTGCCCTATTTTCATTTCATAAACATCCAACAGGTCTTTCCCAAAAAACTAAGGTTGAGCAGCATTGTGTGAATTTAGAAGAATGTTAGTTCAAAACCCTTCACAATTCATTCACCAGAAAAATGACTATCTGCATTATTGGAGAACTATTAAATAGTAAAAATGAAAAAGAAAAAAAAAAAAAACCTGTGCAATGTGTGGTAAGCAACGTGGACTTGACAGTATCCTTTTCACTCTTGGAGTTGGGGTAACCATCTCTCCAGCATCATCTAAATCTGAATGTGCAGAAACCATGCTATGTAATATGGACAATGCAGCCTCCCCTACCTGCAAGCAGAATTTAGTAAGGAGAAGATAAGTAGCATAGAGGTTCAATCATAAGCAAGAATTGGGAAGATGATTCATAATCATGAATTTTGCCCACATCAAGAGCTTTAATCAACTGATTAATACTCCATCCACTACATATAATGCCATAGCATTGACTCGAAACAAGGGTATAGGACAACTGGAACATATACAACTAATTGTACATATTTCTAAGTTGAAATTTGAAAAATTTTTCTCAACAAAATTTCAATGGTTTTGTAAAAATGAAATTTGAAAGTTAATTTATTGGATTAAATTAATTATGCCTTTACTTCAAAAGGTCCAAAAAAAGGATGCCACGTGACAACAATATAAAAAGAATAAAGTAAGCACTTAACTACCATATATGCATCACAAGTATGATTTGCTTGTTTTGAAAACTATAGTGCTTTCAATTAAAAATCAAGTAAGAAACAAATGAAAGCACTGTTTCCTGGTGCACTTAAATACAGATTCTACCTTTAAGCAAGTCAATCTCAATATCTACTTAATAACCACAAGCCATGTTCCATGAAACAAAACATCAAACATCTTAATATGACTGCAAAAGCAAGATATGCATAGCACGTTCAAAAGATTGTATTATAGCACATGATAAGTGAGGTAAAAAGGTACCTAAAAGTCAATTTAGATTGGTAAGGACATAAATGAATCAGATTTTAAAGAAATGACATGGAAATTAAATGACCAGGACAATTAATTTCACTAAAAAATAAATTAAACCACTATCACTATTTTACCAAATAATGACACAATTTGTGCAAACAACATAATGCATATCAGATTCATAGTCCATATTTAAACTGAGAATACCTGAGTTGGTGTAAGAACAGGAACCCGAATGGCTAGCACCCAACGAAGCTCACGGATATCACGTAATCTCTTCCAGTCCAGCATCCCTGAGGCCCAGCACCTTGTTGTCCAGTCAATAACTTTCTTTGACCACAACCTTCTGATAACGTCTTTCTCTAGAGGTCCAACTTGTGCACCTTCTTTGTCAATATACATCCATTCCTTGAGTGGCTCCATGAAGGCAGTAGCAGCTATTAAATTTGATTGCAAGGGAATAGCAGTCCTCTCTGAAGCTTCATGAACCACTGTAAGGAGATCGACAGCTAATACACAGCCTCCAACTAAAACACAAGCTTCCACGTTGGCTAAAACCTTCATCAGAACCTGCATATATTGGCAAGAACAAAACAGAGTCTCTGTTACTATCATAACATGATTACACTGTTTAACAAAAATGCTAGTTCAGTTTTTTCTCCACTCAATATATTGGGTAGTTTTTGTATGGTTTATTCCACACGGTAGAATTCTTTCTAGTTTAGAAGACCTTAACATTTGGCAAGAACAAAACCTACAGAAATGGGAGGATGATGCAGCAGTTTCCTAAAGGCCATCAGTGTCTTCTATAATATTTGGAAGAATATTCCAGATTAATTCACCAATATTCTGGTCCTTGTGGTAGTCCCACCTCTCTTTCCCAATGCATGTGTAAAAGAAAAAGACGATGTAATAACCCAATTTCTCAATGCAATAATCAAGGCTCCTTTGAAAATGCACAAATTTTGAGGAATAACCATTGATGTGGGGATGCTCAAGACATTAAACTTTTTTCAAAATTGTCTTTTCAGTGACAGTCATCTTGACAAATCCAAACAGAGAGTTCATGAATTACAGGACAAAGAGTGTAGTTGCCAATAAAAAAATACTAGCGCAAAGCATTGAAGCAATATGTGCATACCCAAGAATATGAAAAAACAAATACAATGGTAAGAATTCAAATACCAACAGACCTTCATTAGGAGAAGTAAGCGGTGCCTCAAAGCTCTATCATTTGTCCTATCCAAGAGAACTGTAATATGTGCAGTTCCTTCAAAAGGCCCTATTGTATTGTAATGCTGCTCATACACAATTGCCATTGCCCTTGCACAGAGCTCACGAACTGAAGAGCCTCCACCTCCGCCAAAACCATCTAATCTTCCCATATCACACCAATCATCAGATGAGCCCATTTCATCAGGTACAGCACCATCTACTGTAAGGCCTATATCAGCATCACATAAGAACCGATGATAAAGTGCTCTAAAAAAAGCAACTGGATCACGTAGTGGAAAATCCTGTGCCCTCCCACTGCTGCCACTTTCAAGCAGCAAACGCAGATAATATTGGCCAACACACACTTCTTTAGATAAACTAGGATAACTAACAGAGAATTCAGAGTAGTTCCAAGATATCCGTGGAAGACTATCTTGGCCAGTGGTACTCTCTACCATGGCACCTCCAGGAACAATATCTTCAGTACGCTCCTTCTCAACATCAAGCTTATGAACCTCAGCCTGCAATGCTTCCCTCAACTCTTGCCTGGTACGCTCATTCCATATCAAATCTGCACGATTATGATCAAGGCTAAAAGCTCTCCAGAATTCTGGCCAATTACATAACAGCCGACCAGAACCGACAGGTGTGTTCTCCACAACAACCTGAGCAGGTGCTGGAAGGCCTGTGTTTTGTGAAACAGCTGCATTGACTTCAGAATCAACTAAATTTGAAGTATCTGGTTCAAGAGCTGCACACACATTTGTTGGCTGAGCATCAGATGAAGCAGCAAAAGCAGAATGGCCATTTTGTGAAATCACTGTAGAGTATGCATCACTATTCACACATTCACCAGCATGACTAGCAGAAGCTTGGGATAGAATTTGACTGGAATTTGGATCTAGCGAAGTTTTATTATAGTTATCTGTGACTCTATGAACAGCAGGAACTGTCTGCCTCACTGTATCACCTCTCTCCAAGGAATGGTCTTCAGATGTAATTCCCCTGCCTGTACGACCTTTTCTCTGCTGAAGTAGACGCCTCTGTCTTCTACTGGTCAGTGATCCTTCCTGAACTGCATCCTCAGGTGCTCCATCAGAGCGTGTGTGCAAATAAGCAACAAGCCCAGGAGGCAGAACTCTAGACAACAAGTCTAAAGCTGGTTGGTAGGAATCTGCCCAAAGAGCAACAAGCTGTCGACTAACCTCACGCCGCTCACCAGCAGGGAGAAAAAATGCATGCAATAAATGCCTCAGCAAAGCACCATCACGTAAAGCAGCATCACGCATAGACTCTGCAGCAATTGCATCTTCTTCTGCAATGGTGCGCATTATCAGGGCAACTGTTTCTCTAACACTCTCCGCAGGATGCCCAAACAATGCAAATAAACGACGACGCAAACCAGCTACTTGCCGTAACAGTTCAACAAAAACTGGGTATTGGGTAGTCTCACCATTTGGATCACATATCATAGCCTCGAGAACTTCAACAACAGACATGGACAACAAGGGTGAGACAGACATAGGTTTCAATCTGTTGACAAGAATAGTGACATAACCATGATTAGAAAACAACACAGACTTAGTATGCATGATTGTGGCATGTTGCTCTCCTTTAGAATCTGTTAATATATTTGTATCCCCAGGACCACCACCAATCAGTGTTGCAACAAGCCCTGCAGTTTCAGCAGCTACACCCTCAGAACCATTTCTGAGTAATCCCATTATTCTTCCAACAGCAGCAGGAAAAGACATAACATGTGAAGCTGAACTTCTAGAGGCCAACAATCTACGTAAACATGCTATGAAACCCATCACTGTTGCAGCTGCTTTTGGTGAAGGAGGAGGCAAGGGAGGGGACTCTGGTGGAAGATTTGGAGTTGCTGGAAGCATTGTAATCAAGGCCATTAAACTCACTTCAGGCACTTCAATATTAGGAGGCACTCCAGTATATGGAATACATGCATTGAACTCCCTTATCCTACGCCATAGCTTAGCTCTTGAACCAGGAATAGAACCACCTTCAGCAACAGCATCTTTGGCAGCAGTTGCTAAGTGTTTCAAATGCATGGATGCAATTTCCATATCAGCAATAGGGCGTTGTTGACCAAATAGTAGACAAACTCTCCCGCAAGGAGGATCAATGGGATGACCAGGCATTGTCAGCCTTGGTAACACAGGAACTGGGCACTGACCCTGGACAAGCAAGAAATTTAACAAAATAATATTAACTCACCCATCTAATAACACCTATTATAGTTAGCAAGATGATTCTAAGGCAAATCCCTGGTTATATTCTAGAAAGAGCACATCTACCTACTTCTGTTTGCAATACGTCACGAACTGCTGCAAGTAGACTATCTCTTGAGGTGCTTGCATAGACCTGTAATCCACACCATACCTATTAGTTATTTACCTTTAAAAGAATTAAGATTTAAAACTAAGTCTAATATATACTCACATGGACAGGACATCCATCATTAAACTCAATTGCAAACATCTGGGGCTCCTCTGCGAACCGAACAAGTGAGCTCACTGCAGATAAAGGACGGACAATAACAGCCTGCAGATAAAAAAACACTATTTGCCTTCATTATATAAACTGGACCTATGAATTTCAATGTGTTAAAAGTAGAACTTTACCAACAACTTTTATTGCCTCAAAACAAAAATGAAATAGATAGTACAGATACTTGAAGTAAACAACAAATTCCCTCTTTTTGCACATACATAAACCATTTGACCAACACTTGGACTCAAAAGTAGTTTCTCATTGTAACAGCATATCCAACTAATGATCTTAAGTTGGTTACATGTCCCACTAATAATGAGAAAAAGTCAAAAGAGATGGACACCTTAAGTTAAAAAGATATACTGGAAATAGTAATTAACACCAATATAAATCATTTATCCACACCTGTTTCAGGAATTCTTGCTCATTAACAGGTGTCTAGATGCATAAAATGAATAACTATATAACCATTTTGCCTAAATGTTTTGCAAAGTAATTATTTCTTAATGTCATTTTCTATACAAAAAACTGTTCTGCAGTCCAGACTGTACCAGACTGCAAAACAGTAACCCTTGGATTGGGGAGGGCCGCCTGATATTGGGCCCTCCTCCCCCCATCCAAGGGCCCTGATTACTTCCCAGAGTGCAAAACAGGGAACCCTTTTCTATTTCAGATTTAGTCTTTTCCTGTTGATTACTTCCATCATGTATGAATTTTCATCATTTAAATGCAATTATAATAAAAAATGAAACCATTACAGAAAGAGATTATGTTTGCATGCATGCATCAATGTGTTTGGTTGGGAAGGTTACTTTATCTGCATATTGCATACAGATATTTTTTCCCAATACTCAACCATAGACTAAGAGAAATAGTGGACGATCATTTTTGCAATCAAAGCAAATAAACATATTTTCCTAAATGTATCATCAGGCTTACTTCATAGTTATCTGGCCGCCTTTCAACCAGTGAAACTTTTGTAAGGATGAGTTGGCGAGAAACAGAATCACCATGTTCTCCAAGTCCTCCTTTGGGACCAACACTGAAACTCAACCCAGGAATGTGTAGAGTTCCATGAGCAGCAGACCGCAACCTTGTTACAGACCAACCACCAAAAGGGGTTTCTGCTGCTCCAACTGCCTCTTTTGCTGTGTTTTACAATAATATTGCCAGATTAAAATTAAATAAATAGAATAATGATAACAACAATAATAATAATAGTAAAAGTAAAAAAGAATTCACTGGAAAAAGGAAGTTAACTGAATGAAAACAGCAATGAAAGTGTTTAGTGAGCCACCTCTTTGCTTTATAAACTCCGATGCAGTAAGGCTTTGAGAATTATCAGCTGAGAGAGACAGCCCAACCACTGATTTTGCGGTTTTAATCTGCACAAATATGTATTGATTAATATAGGAAATACAAGGGTAGAGAAAACATCAAACAGAGTGCAACTTCTTTCATTCTTAGAGTTGGGGCCTTTTCAATATAAAAGAAATCTTTATGTAATATACTAACAAAATAATCTTATTAACATAGTAGAAAGTAATCTATTATTCAAAGATGTTATAAGTACCAAATTTGTGATGATTGCAGAATTTGTGGTCCCTGAAGCAGCTTGGAAGGCTTTGGATTTTCTTCCATACAATGGGCAAAGAATGAAACCCCCACCATCAGCACTTTTTTTCCCAAAAGCATCAGAAAGGAGAATGATGGCTGGGGAAGCCATATCCCTAAAATCCAAGCACCAGCGACAGTCTCCTGATTTTAAGTCAATTAGCTCAACCCCCACATAAGTAATCTTCAATTTCTGTACAAGAATAAGGTGTTAGTAAACAAGCACCAAAACCTAGCTTCAACCTGTTGTTGCTAATCAATTAACAATGCACCCCACTACAGAACCAAAACCAACAAAATGCAATCAAATCAAATATAAACAGACTACCTTAAATCACACTACATCTACCAAAAATAACACTAACATGAAGCTCAAGGTTAGCACTCAACAGACTAGTAAACAATAACTGCTAATATGCATTTCAAATTTGAGATAAATCCAGCAACTTACGAAAGTAACCCATTCTGAGTTGCGCCTGCGCAGATGCAGCACCGGAAACTCAGCGATAGCTCCCAGCCTATTCCACCTTATCCTATGCAACTCTGTCAGAATGCTAACCCTGTATCGCGAGGAAAACTTTATAGACTTGAATTTCCCCTTCCCGTCCGTCCTCAAGCTCAAATTAAACTCAGTCGAATTCTCATCCCTCCCTAGGACCGGAGTGGCGCCCTCAAAATTAGCCCCCACCTCGTACGAATTGGTGACCGTCAAGGTGGCGGGATCTAGAGTGACGATCGCAACATTGGAAATACACAAAATTCGCTTGTAACGACCTCGCCATGAGTGCTTGATGACCAAGTATCGAGCAAGGTACTCAGGTTCCTCTTGAGGAGGAGCGGAACTAGGATTGGCGGAGGGTTCCATAGGTCGGGGACGGCGATCGGACGAGGACGAAGGTAAAGTTCGGGTCAGAGAGTCGAGGGAGTGGAGGGTGTGAAGGGGAGGGGCATTGTGAGTGCGGAGTAAGTGCCAGAGTCCCACGCGTGGCGCCGGGGAACGGTGAGACCGAGACTGATTAGCCCCCAGCTCTGCCGGTGGTGTTCCCTCCGATCGATTAACAGCAGCGAATTAAACCTAATTGCATCTAAAATTTTACAGATGAATTCGGTTGCGAATTCGATTCTTGAGAATGATTACGAGCGTAAATCAAAAATGATAAGCTGGCTTCAAAATGAAGAAAATAAAGAAATGGATTAAAGTGAAAAAAGAGAGTAAAATAAAGAAGACGGGTGGAGTTGTGCGTTTCGTTCTAGCGTGCGACCTACTGTGACATGACTCTTCTTCGTTAGGCTAACATCACTGGTCGGTGACTCACGGATTTGATATGCTGTGTCATGTCATGCCATTGCCAGCTCGGGTAATATTATGAAGTGATGTTTAGTAGGCTGTAAATTACTATTGAAAGTTGAAACTAGAATTACTTTTGTTTTTAATTTATAAATGTAAGATTCAATGGGTTAATCTGTGTGTTAAAAAAATATTATTTTTTATCAAAATATAAATTTAGCAAAATTTTAAAAGTTTTAAAAAAAAGTTAAAAATAGTTAAGTCTTAATATTGATAATTTTATAAGTGAACTAATTGATAATGAAAAAAAAATTAGTTAAGAAGGCTTAGTTATTATTAATTTCTTATAAAGATTTTTTAATTTTATTTTTTTATAATTTGATAAATAAGAAACTATTACCATTAATTAAATAAGTTATCAAAGTATTATCTTCTAAGTATATTAGACCTAGGTTCAAGACATAGGACCAACAAATTATGCAAGCCCGTTTGACACTATTTTATAAACTGAAAGAAGAAAAATTCTATATTTATGTTGTATTAAATTTAGTGAAAGTTTCGTACCCTTATTCAATATTTAAGATGATTTCTTTTCAAAATCTTATATTTATTTAGAAAAAAAAAAACTTATTTTTTAGTATTTTTTGAAATTTTATAAGTTCTAAAAAAATTCTAAATTAAAGCATTTTCTAAAAATTTATTACACGCCCTTAAAAAACTTTAAAACAATTTTTCTTTCTAATAATTTGAAATAAATTAAATACTTCATAATTTATATTACACTAAAATATAAAATACTAACCATTAAATTAACAATCCCTTTCTAATTATGAGAACTCTCACCAAATTGGAAAATACTTTTTAGATTTAAAATTTTGTGAAACGAAAAAGTCATATAAAAGCTGAAAATATGATTCCGCAGCACGTGGTGGGGCTCGGCATCTTGCGCAAAAACTTACTTTCTGTCTCTCATTTTATTAAATTTAAATTTAAAGGTTTTAACTTCTCACTTTATATCATGATATTTAATTTTTCACTTTATTAAATTTATATATTTTAACTTTTTATTTTATATTATGATATTTTTAACCATTTACAAATTAAAATTAAAAAAATAATACTCATTTTGTAACATTTTATTAGTTTTATTAAGTGACTATTAATTTTATTATCTGATTGTTAATTGATAAAAACTTTCTTTTAACTAATAGAGTTAATAAAACTAATTTTATAATATTTCGTTTATTCTATTAACTGACTATTAATTGACTGTTAATTGACAAAAACCTACTTTCAGTTAACAGCGTTAACAATTAGTATAAAGTGAAAGTTATTTTCTTCGATTTTAATAGGTGATGGGTTAAAACTTACAAATCTAGTAAGATAAAGAATTAAAAGTGTTATAGTGTAAGGTAAGGGGTTAAAACCAGATTTTTACTAATATCTCAAACAAAAACTTCGGTGAATCTGTTAAATTTGGCTAAACATAAGGTCACAAACTTATATAAATTTTGAAATTAAGGTCTCAAAATTTTATTAAAGTTAATTAAAGTTTTAAAGTTATTAAAATTTTAAAATAAATCTCAATTGAATAGAAACTGTTAAATACATTAAATTTTTTATAAACATAGTTTTTTTTTTTTTTTGATATGAATAGACACCTGTTTTATTGAAAAAATATAATACCAGGGAGTATTACAGAAAAATCACATTGACAGCTTATCGCTAGATACAAAAGGCGCAAGGTAATCTAGCATCTCATTTCTGAAAAACTCATCTCCCTCAGCCCGTAGTGCTCTCTTAGCTAACTCATGAGCCACAGCATTACCAGTCCGACGCACGTGTTTGACTCGGCAGTGCAGGAAAGAGGACATCAACAGCTTACAATCTGATAAGACATTTCCCAGGTCTGAATTTAAGGCAACATTGTTTGACAGTGCAGTTACAATACTGGCACAATCCGTCTCAATAATAATTCTCCCAAGATTTAACTCTGAGCCCACTGCATTGCACGCCGGATACTACATGCTTCTACGATTTCTGCAGCTGCAACGTCCCGCCCCTGATAGGCCATGGTTGCCAGAACTTCTCCGCAATGATCCCGAGCCACTGCACCCATACCAAACACCCTACGTTGTTCTGCTACTGCGCCATCGACATTGATCTTGATGGTCTGCTCGTCAGGAGGCTTCCACTTCGTCTCGCCATGCACTTGGACAACTCCAGATCCCCGCCCCATTGATTGCTGCGCTCGCTAATAATTCGTCAAGTAATTCACGCCTCCTTCAATAATTTGTTGAGGGTGTGCCCTTCTGCCATTCCAATGAGCCTCATTTCGAGAGCTCCAAATCCTCCAACTTAAAATACATAGAAGCTCCAACTGCTCCTTCCCCAATTCAGTACACATAGCATCAAAGAAATCTGCAAAAGAGCTAGAGGGGAACTCTGAAACTCGAAGACTGAGGGGGTTTCCATGCCACACCGCTCGAGCGACGGAGCAAAACAAAAGACAGTGTACCACAAATTCCATATCAGAGCCACACACAGGGCATTCCAACTCCACTAGTATATGCTTCTTCTGCAGATTATCCCTGGTAGGAAGTACATTACGATAGGCACTCCAAATGAAAAATTTTATCTTACCCGGAATACTTAGGTTCCAGACTTTATTGCCACCAAAGGATGCATTGGAGCTACTTGGAACACCCATGTCCCTCTGCATATTCATCGCACAATGGTATCCAGAACGTACAGAGTAGGTACCATGCCGTGTGAGACTCCACGTCCACCTATCCTCACATTGCTCCCAGCTAATTGGAAGAGATAAGATTAGATGAGCTTCATAAGAAGAGAAAGTATTCTGGATTAAGTCTCGATTCCACGCATGAGAACTGTCATCAATTAAGTCACTGACATATCTAAGCTCACAGTTGGGCGGACGTGCTGATTGGAGACAAAACTCAGAATTTCCTGGAAGCCAAGGATCTCCCTAGATCTCAATGCTACACCCATCACCTAGAAGCCGCCGACAACCCCTGCTCAAAAGCTCTTTTGAGCTACATATACTTCTCCATGTTAGGCTACAACCGGGTTTCAAAACAGCATGCAGGAAGTTGGTGCGAGGGAAGTATTTTGCCTTCAATAGTTGGGCAGCTAACGAATCAGGATTTGTCATCAATCTCCAACCTTGTTTCCCCAACATGGCCATATTGAATTCATGGAGTGCCCTAAAACCCAGCCCACCATGCTTTTTCGAAATAGCTAGTCTCCTCCATTCCAGCCAGTGGATCTTATGCTCCTCCTCACCCCCTCCCCACCAATAGCTGTTCATAATCCGTTCAAGGTCTGTACAAAGCGTCTTGGGGAGCTTAAACAAACCCATCACATAAGTAGGAAGAGCTTGAAGAACAGATTTAATTAAGACCTCACGACCTGCTCTGGATAGTGGTTGTGCCCTCCACTCATTAATACGAGCCCAGAATTTGCTTTTTAGATTGAAGAAGGCTGCAGAACGTGATCTACCAACATAGGCTGGAAAGCCCAAATACTGGCCTTGATGCTCGATCTCTTCCATGCCAAGAATATCTGTAATGCACTTGCGAACTCTACTATGGACACTACTACTAAATGAAATAGCTGATTTGCGTAGATTCACCTTCTGCCCTTACATCAATTCATACTTCTGGAGGATGTCCTTCAAATTCTGGGCCTCAGTTTCAGTAGCTCGTAAGAATAGGAAGCTATCATCGGCAAACAATAAGTGGGATATGCAAGGGGCTCTGTGGCAAATCTTTATACCATGAAGTAACCTTCTTCTCTCAGCATCGTGTATCATAGCAGTAAGGCCCTCTGCACAGAGGATGAAGAGATATGGAGAGAGGGGATCTCCTTGACGTATCCCCCTAGTTGGAGATACTCGCCCGGCCTCGGAGCCATTCAACAGCACCTCATACTGAACTGATGTAACACAAGCCATAATCAATTGTATCCAACGCTCAGCAAAACCCAGTGATCTCATAATCTGCTCAAGATATGGCCATTCTACCCTATCAAAAGCTTTACTCATATCAAGTTTGATGGCCTGCCACCCCCTTTTCCTCTTCTTTCTTACTTTCATGTGATGTAGGACTTCAAAAGCAATCAAGAAGTTGTCTGTGATGAGTCGGTTCGGCAAGAAGGCACTCTGCAAAGGTGAAATCACTGAGGATAGAACCGATTTAAATCGATTTGCTAGTGTTTTAGCCAATACTCTGTAAATAACATTGCAAAGACTAATTGGACGTAAGTCAGCCATGGTTTTTGGTTCGAGGCACTTTGGTATAAGCACAATGTTAGTGAAATTCAACTGCTCGGGCAGGGGTTCATCCTCATTCAAAAACTTTAAACAAGGGCCTATCACATCCATTTTGACAATATCCCAAAAATGTTGGAAAAAACCC